ATGAATTCGTACACGATCAAGCGGTGATCATTACAGGATGCGTCCGGAAGGACACGCCATCCGGATATCGAGACGTCGCCGCGCGTAAGCGTCACGTCAATAGAAGACTCACCCATTAGGTTGCAAAAAGTTGGTGCACCACCAACTTTTTGCAACCCAATGGGTGAATCGGGGGTATTGTGAATAATAAGATTCATTTCTGCAATGAAATCTTCAACCGCACCACGTCGAACCGTGTCGGTTGAACGCAACTTGCCATACCATAATGAAGATGACGCATTGACATCAGCGCCAATGATAATTTTATGTCCCACGAGGCACTGCAAGACGTAACGTAAGTGATGTAAGTGAGGATCAATAGGATGTGAATATTGAAAATAGCAGCTCACTACGTAAACCTTACAGGTAGAGGATGAGATCCCAGCAACGGCGCAGTGTGATGTCATAAGATTACGCAAAGATGTTACCGTAAAATTAGAACTTGCAACATATATCCCAGCCTGCGAACGGCAGTCAAGCTGTACTACATTACGACGCAAGCGAGCGCTCTGATATTGTTCTTGTATAAGGACAATGTCTAACTTTTGTTCTAATATTAAACGGTCTAATTCTGATGTAGCTATTTTATCGTTATGAAGATTTAACTGGCCTATTGAAATATTATCCATCACTTAGTAAGTTACTCTATAAACTTTTTTTTTTTTTTTTTTTTTTAAATTAAACTATTCAGTAATTGGTATTTAATATTAGCTGTTCCAGTTTTAATTTGTATGTGGCACAGTCGTGTGAGCCGCATCGATGGTCAGATGGTTTTTTGAACCGCTTGCACTGTGCGCACGTGGGCTTAAAATCTGGTGTGTCTTTATCTGAACAAGCTCGTGTTTCATGTGCGGCGGCGCAATTAGCACAAGTAGGGGTTTTAATGGTGCAAAACTTTTGTACATGACCGAATTGCTGACAATTTAAGCAACGAACTACTTCTATATCGTCTATGAATCTACATGTGGCCCAGTCTATATAAAGTTTATCTTTTGTGTTGGCTATATGTTTCCTAACTGCTGCCTCTAGTTCTAAGCCTATCCATTGATGCCCATTTTCTAGTTCACGATGCCTAACAATTTTGGTTGACTTAATAAAATCGTTCTCACTTAATTTTAATTCGTCCTTGATATTCTGACGGTATAAGGCTGTTAGGAAGGCACGATCTTCCATAGAACCGGGTACGTCTTTTACAATTATGCGGGGCTTTCGGACTTTCGGTTTTTCCAATCGTAACCCTACTGATTTATTGGCGTCTACAGATTCCAGTTTCTTAAGCTGCCGTTCGTTAGCTACACGTAACACGACGCCTGCCTTAGAGGTTTTTTTAACGCCTACAATTTGGAAACCCTCATCGCTCGGTTTAATAGCCTTCATGAGACCTTGTTTCGTTGCTGACGAGGTCGCATAGTCCGCTAAGCGTTCCGTAGTGGGATAGGCAATAACACAAGGCCTAGGAACGCGCGCTTCAGAAGATACCGGGCACGGGGCAGATTTAGGTGGTAAGCGAAGCTTAAGTTTGTCCGCGTACGTTAAACTCGTTTGTTGATTCGCGATACCCTCCATTTGTCGCTCAAAATTCGCTAACTTCGTTTCGTTGCTAAAGGATTTTTATTGCTAACAGGGATACGATATCAGAAGCAGGCAGAATATCTTTTAGAATCACTTGTACCTGACGATCGGCCGGAAAACGACACTGATCATCACCGACAGATCAGGCAGTGGGCCATCGAACCACCACTGTCTTCAATGTCTGATTTACCATCTTCAGACGAATTTCTCGGTATCATTCGATCCTTGCCGCTAAACAAGGCTTCGGGCGATGATAAAATATCTAACAAAATGATAAAAGAAGCTTGTAAACTTTCGGGTGACACGATTTCCACTGTCTTTAAACGTTGCATTGCTGAAGGAATATTTCCTCGTATATGGCGGTGCGGTAATATTCGTATAATACCAAAAAGTGGCGACAAGCCACCGGATGATCCTAAATCCTACCGACCAATCACATTGTTACCATCGTTAGGAAAGCTTTTAGAACATCTTGTAGTGCCCCGGCTTCTGCCAGGTGGAGTCAAATTTCATAATAGACAATTTGGATTTACGTTGGGTAAATCGACAACTGACGCTGTTATATCGGTTAGAAAGTTTGTCACAGAGTTAAAATTTCAATACGTGCTGGCTATTTTCTTAGATATATCTGGCGCCTTCGACAACGCATGGTGGCCCATGCTGTTGCTGAAATTAAAATCACGAGGGTGCTTTAAAAATATTTATTCCCTTATCTCTTCGTACTTTTCACAAGGTACAACTAAAGTAAGACTTGGTCATCATTCTGTGTCGAAGGCGCTTACAATGGGATGTCCTCAGGGATCGGTGCTAGGTCCATACTTGTGGAATATCGGCTTCGACGATTTTCTTGCGATACCAATACCATCCGGATGTATTCTGAACGCGTATGTTGATGACGGCTTATTACTGGTGGAATCTGATACTAGGGCGGGACTTGAGAGATCAGCCAATAGATGTTTGAACTTGATATCTCAATGGGGTGAACGTAATCGCTTAACTTTTGCACCCAACAAAACCTTCCAGCTACTTTTAAAAGGTAACCTTAAATCACCGCCAAGCATTAGATTTGACAATGTTACTGTAAAAAATAAAACCTCAGTGTGTTACCTAGGATTAGTTCTAGAAAGAAACTTTTCATTTATCGAACATATTAAAATAGTTAATGAAAAGTCTAAAAAGAGTTTCTGTGCATTGACAAGGATATCAACTGCGACATGGGGTCTATCATTTAATACATTAAAGATCATATACGGAGCTACTTATTTAGGTTCTATGTGCTATGGTGCACCTGTATGGGCCGATAGGGCGACCGTAGGCGCTGTCCGTCGCAAACTGTTACAAGGCCAACGACTTGCACTGATATTCTTGTGTAAGGCATATAGGACGGTTAGCACCGAGGCTTTGCCGGTGTTGGCGGGTGTGCTTCCGGTCGATCTCGAGGTGCAGAGACGTGCAGCCATGTACTATTCAAGACAACAAAATATGGAATGCGATTTTTTGGGCGCGCGGGATCGCGGTAAAATTACAAGATTGCTTCAACAGCAGCCCGATGTCTATAATGACCTCATAGACGAATGGCAACAACGCTGGGATGAATCATCCAAGGGGCGCCATCTTTACCAATTCTTTCCATCTGTTCGCGAACGGTTGTCGAGGATATAGCTTGAGGTGGATCACTGTGTCGCTCAATTTCTTACGGGTCATGGTAACTTTAAGAGCAAGCTTTATTCATTTAAATTAGTCGAGTCACCATTGTGTCAATGCTCAACACCAAACTCTCACTATGAACAGTCTGCTCATCATATCCTCTGGGAATGTAGTCTTTGGTATAATGAACGTAATCTAATGCTGAATAGCTTGCAGGTGACATCTGGGGCGGTATACTATGGGGATCTTGTGTCAACTAGGGTGAATTTCCGTGCGTTTAGGTGATTCTGCCATACATATTATAGAAATCAAACATAGCTCACGTAGGACCCGTAATATTTGTGGCCGTGGTGCTTCCCTGTTTAAAAGGGTGTATGTCCATTTTACTTCATTTTGTCTCCCGCTTTGCTAAGGAGGGAAGTGGATTTACTGTATTTCCAACTCCTCCAATTTTCTTCTGATTAATTTCGTTGCGGGTTCCAAGACAGTTTAATTTCTTCCTGGGACTTCCCGAGTGTGTTCGTGGGTCACTGCTGTGGATCCTGGTGTACAGGAGTTACAGTGGTGGGCGTGTGGGTGGGATTAGTCCCATAGTCTCTCACCGATCCGGCTGATGTGCTCCGATTTCGCCTTAGCAATGTCTCTTTTAAGGGATCTGGAGGCAAAGTTATATTGTTTTTTTAGCTTGCTGGTATGCACATCGCCTGCCGTTGCTGCATTTTCACATGCTTGGTAGCATTCCCTCTTTCGGCTGGACGCCGTTTTGCAGGATCTGTGAACCAGGGCTTAGAATTGATGAACCAGGGAATTGATGTAGAAGGAACGAATAGTGCTGACTGCACGGTTAGCGTAGTAGTTTAGCATTCGCGATGCCGCTCACTACTACGCTGAGTGCTGTGGGTATGATCCCCACATGGGACGACACTTTGTGTGTTCCACAAATTGTTGTTCTGAGTCTGGGTGTTCTTTGTGTCCATTTCATCTATGTTTGTAAAGTCTTCCGCGACACAGAATATATTCCTAATGCGGGAGTTGTCTTCTTAAATGAAAAAAAAAACAAAAACAAAAGCTTCATGCCCTGAAGTACTACATGAGTGAAGGAATCGGCAACGCTGGTGGGTTCATCCGGCAAGAAACAGACCTGACTCCATGGGTAGGACGCAAAGAAGGAGCTCATCCCATCCCAGTTCGCTGACCTATAGAGCCATCTAAGTATATTCGGAAAGATCTGGTCGAGCAAAGAAATACCAACAACCTTACGTACGTTACGTTATATTGATAAGTTGCTGTCACTACGCTCCGTGATATAAAAAGTTTTAAGTGGTTTTATTTGAGGAATACACAGTGGAATCAGTGCGAAATCTCCTGCACAACCTACACACTAACTGTAAGTAAGGAAATAATCACAGTACTAACTCTCAAAGAGCTAAATTGGGCAGATTTGTGTCTGGAAGAACAAGAAACTTTTGTTAGCATACCCATCATATCAACTTTTATAAAAAACTGGGGCGAACGCGTAAGCGCCCCGCTATACCGCGCACTTGCGCCCTTTTGGACACGCCATAGAATGCACAAAACTCAGAGAGGGCATTTGTTGGTGTGCTTTTGATAGAAAGTATTAATATAGTTTTATTAAGCATTTTGTACCAGGGCCTTTATTAGTGTGCTCTTTAACACTACACATTAATTATAAATACTGTCTGATCAAAATATACTGTGCGCCCGTCTTGATTAATGTAACTATGCCCTTGAAACGTACGCCACCACATACCCCTAAAGATAATGCTAATACAAGTCCTGTGTTAGTGGCGGCGGAATCGAACAAAGAAGGGACAGGTGTTACCGCAAGGAAGAAACGACCTCGAGTTGAATCGCCTAAGACCAGTTCAAATCAGGACATTGATAAAATACTAGAGACCTTCAAAAACGAAATCAGAGAAATGCTTGTCACATGGAAAGAGGAGCAGAATTTGGTTTTGAACAAATTGGTTACTGATATTACAGACCTGAAATTACAATGCACTACAATACAAAAATCTAACAGCGACATTCAGGAGGCCATGATCTACATTAATAAAGATTACGAGGAAATGAGAAATAAGGTTGCACTTTTAGGAAAAGAGCATGAAGAATACACAAAGTACATAAATGAACGTCTCGAGACCACTGTCCGTGATGGTTCCGCTTATTCGCGGATAATCAAGAATCTGGAAAATAAAATCGATGCATTAGAACAACAAGCAAGGAATTGCAATGTCGAGATTTGTAACATCCCTGAAAGGCGCAGCGAAAACTTAATTCACGTGGTGGAACTGATATCAAATAGTATAAATTTCCCTATATAACAGAAAGATATTATATCTATCAATCGAGTCCAGCGTGCTCATCAAGCTAATAATAGGCCAAAGAACATAATTGTGAAATTTCCAACACGCATTATACGAGACAATCTACTAAGCGCCTACCGTTTGTATAAAACTCCTCTTGTAACCGACCAAATAGGCATTTCAGGTTCACCAGCTACAATCTACATAAACGAGCATTTCACACTGAAAACCAAGCAGTTATTTCGAAAATGCAAGGAAGCAGCCAGGGAACACAGCTTTAAATACGTGTGGATTAAAAACTCAACGGTTTTGGTGCGAGAGCGTGAAGGCATCGCTTCATTTGCAGTTCGTACCGAAGATGATATTTGCAAAATTAAACATAACTCTGAGGCTAAAACAAATATTGCATCAAGTAATACTATCATCGCTTAACCACTTACGTGTTACATACTGCTCTCAAATTCAATTCACCTCAACTTTATTTTGTGTTATGAATGTGCTTATAAAAATGTATATCATTGTTCTCTCAAGAGCTTGTTTACTGATTGTTACCAGTCTATCTACTTGCATGCTATCAATGACTTATTTACTGTGTGAGTTGCATAGATCTGTCCCGGTAAGGGGGTTTCTACGTAACAAGAAAATAAAATTCTTGATAATTTCATTGGATTATGTAATGTTGAGCTACTTTGTGGTAGGGCTTGCATGCTCGTACGACCATGAAAATACAGATCTCTATAGGGATAACTTGGCACGGTTTATTCTCTTACTCGTCTGCGTACACTGTTGGGTGGATAATAAACTTCAGTTGGCACTTATCACTGCATTGTTATACAAATTTAGGAATTATTCATCTAGCGGCCACATACGCTTTATACATGTAAATGGAATATATTATGTTTGTAATAATAAGATGATCAGCGATGGATAAGCATTTATGTATGTATTACCAAAATTGCAGGGGTATCCGAACGAAACTGCATACTCTTTACAGAAATATTCTTATGTTTGATTATGACATCATAATTTTAACAGAAACCTGGTTGATACCGGCAATTTACAACAACGAATTTATTGACTCTCGTTACGCTGTATTTCGCTGTGACCGTGATCGTTCTAGTACAAACAAGCTTGACGGTGGTGGTGTACTCATTGCAATCTTGCGATCACTCAACCCATCGGATATAAATCTTAACTCACCTCCAAATAACTTTTCTTGGCATAAGCACATTGAACACGTCATGGTCGAGATACCTAGCATCAATAAACCTAATCGTCATGTCTTTAGCGCTGCGTACATCCCACCCAAAACGCCTGCGTCAGTGTATGCAGAGCATTTTGAATTATTACAGGATCTGTTAAGTGAACAGACTGTGGAAAGCTTCTACATTGCTGGCGACTACAATACGCCGGAAATCAACTGGTTGACACCAACTTCTACGGATAAATCTTTATGTACATCTCAGCGTAATGGCTTGAGTGAAACCTCTACACATCTAAATAATTTTATATCCTTTTTAAGCGCTTGTCAATATAACACTCTTAAGAACATTAAGGGAAAAGTACTAGACTTATTCCTATCAAATAATAATTGTAAAATTAATTGTATATCGCACCCTTTGTCAACCATTGATTCGTATCATCCCCCTTTTACGTGTAAATTCAATCTAGACATTATCAAACAACCTATGAACAGACAACCGTTAAAAAAATATAATTTCCATAAAGCTGATTATAAAAACATTAACCTTAAAATCGAAAAGACTGATTGGCATGAACTCCTCAGTCAGTTGAATCCGGAAGAAGCCGTAAACAAATTTTATAGAAGAATATACAGCATAATTGAGGAACACACACCTTTAGCGGGCTGTCGTTCCTCAAGATATCCAGTTTGGTTTTCACCCGCTTTAATCCACACACTTAAAAAAAAACAAAAGGCTTGGATTAAATGGAAAAAGTACAAAAATGTCTCAGATTATGAAACATATACTCAGTGCAGGGCCAGATTTAAAGTGAAGTGCGACGAATGTTTTGATAAATATATTACCTCTGTGGAGAACAACTTAACCAACAGTGTTAAACAATTTTGGACTTATATTTCGAACCGTAAAGATAAACCCGGCATACCTGCTAAGCTATACTACAGTGACGTGGAATCTAGTGACCCAAAAACCATCTGTAATTTATTTTCCAGTTTCTTCTTCTTGGTATATGAACCAGTTACAACTAACTTTAAACATTGGAGACCTCCTCCAGACTCTTGTGACAATGATTTGAATATCTGTAACCTCCGTTTTAGTGAAAAAAAGGTCCTTGAAGCTATTAAATCCTTGGACCCGTCTAAGGGACCTGGACCCGATGGCATACCTCCACACTTCTTAAAAATGACTTCATCGTATATTTATAAGCCTTTGTTTTTAATTTACAATAAATGCATCTCAGAGGGGGTGTTTCCCGCTGCCTGGAAACGTGCCAATGTTACTCCCGTACACAAAGGTGGATCTAAGAGTGACGTTGAAAATTACCGACCGATATCTATTTTGTCCGCTTTGTCAAAGCTCTTTGAAAGACTTGTACACGACGAAATATACCCAGCGTTTCACAACATAATCATACCACAACAACATGGCTTCGTCAAACACCGATCAACTACCACAAATCTTTTAAATTTTACCAGCTTTCTATTTGACAACATTGACAATCGAGTTCAAGTGGATGCTGTTTACACTGATTTTCAGAAGGCCTTTGACAAAGTGGATCATGAAATACTATTAAATAAAATTGCATATAACGGAATACGCGGCAACCTGCTCAGATGGTTTTGCTCTTATGTTACGAACCGCTGTCAAAGGGTTGTGATTAACGGCTTCCAATCAAACATCATAAAAGCCACTTCCGGAGTTCCACAAGGCTCAATTCTTGGCCCTCTACTGTTTATTATTTTTATAAACGACATAAATCAATGTTTTCTTAATACTAAATACCTCCTGTATGCTGATGACCTCAAAGTTTATAATCCCATTACAAATTACGAGGATTGTGCCCTTTTTCAACAGGACTTGGACCGACTGACAACCTACTGTTATAATAACAAACTTTACTTAAGCTTACCCAAATGTAAGTACTTAAATTACACAAAAAATAAAAATGTTATTAGTTTTAACTACAAACTTTGCAAACTCGTGTTTATGTTAGCGGTTTCTGACTTTTTGCAGTGCTGTGAATTGTGTTATCGGTGCCTCTCGTATTATCCTGTGGTGTGCCCCATAAGTTGCCTGCGCCATCTTGGTCTTTGTAGCGCGCTGTCCCTTTTGTTCGGTGACGAAAGAGCATCGTTATTAAATCTCAAAAAGTGATTGTGCTCGGTGGGGTTTGAACCCGAGGTTGCGTTGTTCGCGGCGACGGACGCGGCGCTGTTTCGCGCTCGGCCACTTGTGCATGTTATACGGACTGCGAAATAGCTCAGTGCTACCTTTCTCAGTGAAATTATTTTTCGGTGAAGTCTTTATTCATTTTTGTGCATAATGTCTTGTTCTCCGAATAGAGCTCATTCATATCCGGATCTTGCGAAGGATGAATCTGGTGTAAATGTCACCCATAGAAAAAGGAAGCAGCCTGAATGTGAACTGACTGTAGCTATCTCTGAATTATCCAGGGAAGTAAAAAAAAACATAACTGAATTGCGCGCCGATATAAATAATCAGTTCTTAAATATAAATATGAACATTGCTTCTCTTAGAGAGGAGTTCAACACTCTGTCCTCCGCCACCTCACAAATTTCCAATGACGTGAAAGAGTTGCGTACGGAGTTCTCTACTACTAAAATTGATGTCGCTGAGTTGCAGTCCCAATATGCGGAGTTGTGTAATGAAATATCAGAGTTGAAATCATCAGTAAATTTTAACGCTGAGAACTATAATGATGGTGTGAAACGTATTGCTGATATGGAGGCAAGGATTAGTCATTCTGAAGCTGCCAACATAGCTTTCTTGGAAAATAGGATTGATGTGTTGGAACAGCAGGCAAGACAATGTAATATAGAGATATGTAACCTGCCTGAAAAACGGGGTGAAAACCTAGTCACTCTGCTTAATTCAATAGCATCGGCAATTAATATATCGTTACCCCAGCGTGATATAGTTGCTATACATCGTGTCCCGCACGCACATGCGAAGAATACACGCCCTAAGAACATAATAGCTAAGTTTGCATCCCGATTGCTGCGTGACAACATGCTAAGTGCCTATCGATTATCGAGGGGTCTGACATCTGACCGCCTTGGCCTGGCGGGGACTCCTTGCCGTATCTACGTGAACGAACACTTAACTCTTCGCAACAAAGAGTTGTTTCGTAAGTGTCGCGAGGCTGCCAAGGCGAAAAAATTCAAATACGTGTGGGTCCGAAATGCTACCATCTTGGTCAAGGAAAGGGACGATTCTGCTACCTATGCTATACGTACAGAGGCTGACATACCTAGTAAAATCGTCTGTGCTGTTGCATAAACGATTTAAAATTGTGACAAACATGTCGCGTTCAACAAGCTTCCGCCTTTTAGTTTTATTTTTTTTCATATCTTACCATGCAATGGTTCTCAATATTATTTTTTATACGAAGCTTGTTGGATATGCTTATTGTCTTGGAGAGTTGCCGCCGGTCCATGTGTTATTACTGAGATGCTATATTTATGATGTATGTACCTTACCTACTACCCCTGTAACCTATGTGGAAAAAATGATGTCGATTGCGCTAAATGCAATATTTCAATATTTTAAAAATAAATTACTGCTAATAATTAATACTATTGATAGTTCTAATTTAAATAATGGCTAATATATCAATTTATTATCAAAACTGTCGAGGAATCAGGACAAAGATGAACACCTTATATCTGAACATATTGGCGCATGCATACGATGTGATTGTTCTAACGGAGACCTGGCTAACGCCAGACATCTCTGATAACGAATTTATTGATGACCGATACTTAACATTCAGATGTGACCGTAATCGCTTTGTTACAGGCAAAAAAGATGGGGGCGGTGTCCTTATAGCGGTCGCTAGCGACTTAAAGCCGTCCTGTGTTTCGTTATCACCCCTCCTAATGTTACCTGAGCATATAATAGTAAAAATCCCTTCCTCCAATGATGCATATCACATAATATGTGCAACCTATATACCCCCGAATACTGTAGATGAAGTTTACATTAATTTTCTCAATTCTCTTCTGGTAGTATTTGACCATAACCATGCTGACAGTGTTATCTTGACTGGCGATTTCAACATGCCCCATCTCAATTGGGTTCAAAATTCTTCCTATATGGAATGTACTCCCCTCAATAACGTATCTCGTCAATTTTTGTACTTCTGTTCACAATTAAATTTAAGACAATATAATAATCTGATCAACTCTAAAAATCACTTATTAGACTTATTTTGTTGCAACAAACACTGTGTCGTACATAACGCCGACATTCCTTTTGTACCTATAGACAACAGTCACCCAGCTTTTTATGCACACATACCACTTATTAATCCCGTATCTACACGTATTTCAGCATATAAAGTACAGAATCCATTAAACTTTTATAAAGCTAATTATGAAAATATAAACAAAGATATAGGGGATGCTGATTGGAACAGTCTGCTTGAAACATTAGCACCCAATGAGGCAGTCTCTATGTTTTACGAAAAACTATATGCAATAATTAGAACACACACTCCGGCACGTAAAAATAGAGATATAAAATTTCCTATCTGGTTTTCTAAAACGCTAATTCGTATTTACAAAAACAAAACATCTGCATGGATAAAGTGGAAAAAATATGGGCATGTCAGGGACTATGAAACGTTTTCTATCAATAGACACAAATTTAAACAAGTTGCAGATAAATGCCTTAAAACTTACATTAACTCAGTTGAAGACAAACAAACATCAAATCTTTCTGGTCATACGTCTCCAATCGTAAATCCTCAAATAAAATACCCTGCTCAATCCATTAAAAACAAATCCTTGCTAATGATCCTATCGAAATATGTAACTTATTTTCCAATTTCTTTCACTCAGTACATGAACCCTCCACATTGAACCTTGATACATGGGAACCTACTCCTTTAAGCTCTGATCATGACATTAACTTATCCAATTTACACTTCTCTTTAGAGAATATACGTAGTGAACTGAAATTGCTCGATCCAACCAAGGGGCCTGGTCCTGATGGTATTCCTGCAATATTTTTAAAAAATACGTATAACACCATATGTTACCCTATTTTCATTCTCTTTAACAAATGTCTCTCACATGGAGTTTTTCCTAACACATGGAAACGTGCAAATATTATCCCGGTTCACAAAAGTGGATCCAAAAATGATGTGGAGACCTACCGCCCGATCTCTATATTGTCGGCATTCTCCAAACTTTTTGAGGAGCTTGTTCATAATGAGATTTACCCAATTATCCGGCGGGTTATTATAGATGAACAGCATGGTTTTGTCAAGGACAGATCGTGTATTAGCAACCTTCTAATATTTTCGACTTACCTATTTGAGGGTATTGATAATAGGCGACAGATTGACGCGGTATATACTGATTTCCAAAAGGCTTTTGATAAAGTTGACCATAAAATGTTGCTCAATAAAATTGCATACAACGGTATCAGAGGGGACTTACTTCGATGGTTTATCTCTTATATAACAAACAGGACACAAAAGGTTGTAATTAATGGCTTTGAGTCCAGCTCCATCCAGGTTACCTCGGGAGTCCCGCAAGGCTCAATTTTAGGCCCTTTGTTATTTATCTTATTCATAAATGACATTAAAGACTGTTTCAAACACTCTAAATTTCTTCTATACGCTGACGATTTAAAGGTCTTTAAAACCATTACTAGTGAGCTTGACTGTTTGGAACTTCAACATGATCTTGACCGCTTTTCTAGATATTGCTCTGCTAACAAACTACATCTTAGCCTGTCTAAGTGCCATAGTATAACATTTACAAAAAAAAAAAAAAAGAAAAATTGGCTTTAACTACAGACTGGATAACAGCGTCATCAATAAAGTTACGTGTCTCCGAGACCTGGGTGTGTATCTTGACTCAGGACTTCATCTGGATGCACATGTGGAAAATATTATCAATAAGGCCTACCGAATGTTAGGATTCGTAATGAGGGCAACTCGCGACTTTCACCGTCCCTCCACTTTCGTATATTTATATAAATCTATAATCAGGCCGCAATTGGAATACGCAGTACCTATCTGGAATCCGTACTATACAAAATATAACGATGCTATAGAGTTGATCCAACGTAGGTACTTTCGTGCTATGCAATATAGATGTTTTAGTAAAAAAATATCGTACCAACAACTCCTTAAGAAATACGATATGTTGACATTGAAATCCAGACGTATTCTCCTTGACTCTATGACTCTTTTTAGTGTATGCCGCAACAAATTTGATTGCCCTGACTTGGTGAATTGTTTGTGCTACCTGGTTCCTCGAACAGTCCATGGGCGGGGTGTGCGAGCCAGACACCTATTTGCGACTAGACGCTGTAAAACGAATTCTGGTCTGCGTTCGCCTCTTTACCGTTTAGTTGACACATACAATAAGCATTTTAGTGCAATCGATATATTACATGTTAGTAGGATTAAATTTAAAAGAGACATAATAGCGGTACTAAAGGATCGGCAGTAGGCAATAAAAGTTAATTTTGATTTATCTATTGTATGTTTAAGTGAAACTTTATTTGTCTCAGTTACCAACGTTTTCTTTTGAGTAACCGCTTTTCTTATTGATTAAACTGCGGCGGCAGCAGCAGCTCATGTCTGCTAACAATGGAATTATTTTATAAGGTAATCTGTGGAAAATGTAGTGGGTAGTATATTAGTTAAGTTTAGTTACAAAGATTTCATATGTATACTCATTATACTATTGTTTGTTTTCCCAAATAAATAAATAAATAAATAAATATTCCCCTTAGTAAGGTCACTTCTATAACAGATCTCGGTGTGACACTCGACTCGAAACTCTGCCTAAATCTTCATATCGACAACATAGTCAACAAAGCATATAAGCTTTACGGGTTCATTATGAGATCTACCCACGACTTCAAAAGACCTTGCTCCTACTTGCATCTATATAGGTCATTAGTTCGCTCACAATTGGAGTATGCAGTGCCGATCTGGAACCCCTTCTACAACAAATATGTAGATATCATTGAAAATGTCCAACGTAAATACTTACGTGCAATGCACTATAGGTGCCACGGTTTCTATTTGCCGTATAATGAATTGCTAGTTAAATATAAACTATTGACTCTCAACTCGAGACGAAAGTACATTGAGGCTTTAACTCTGTATAAAATCGCAACCAACAAATTTAACTGCACTGAACTAAATAATATGCTATGCTATACAGTCCCCAGGAGGTCTTACAGACGTAAAGTGTGCGCAGGCAAACTATTTTCATTGAACAAATGTCGTACCAACACTGGTATCCGCTCGCCGATGCGTCGCATGTTAGATACTTACAACAAAATATTTATTAATGTTGATATTTTCGCCAGCTCAATGAGCAAGTTTAAAGGCCTTTTACTTAAAGACTTAGGCTAAAATAACATAACCGCATTGACAATAGTCCTTGTTATAAATTTCATAATTACTACTGAGAAACTAATGTATGAGTATTCCAACCTGTACATGTACAAATGTGAGCGTGTTTAATACTGTATTCCATACTTATCTTTGCTAATTTGTGAATAACGTTGTGGGCTACAATATAGCATAAGTGCTATATTGTTTAGATTATTTTGTAAACTGTATGTTGTAGCTGTTTGTTATTCCTATTCAATAAATAAAAAAAAAATAAAAAAAACCTTTGGAAAGGCTAATTAAGTCCTCATTCCTTTTTCTTTCTGTGCGGAAATCCCTTCGGATACCATTTACCGGTGGCAATGTTGGACTCGAACCGACTAAAACCGCACGCCGTCTCAGGTACCAGTAGTCGGGGAACCAGGTTTACCTTGGAAAATAAATATTCATCATAACTATTTTATTATATACTAATATATTAGTTGTATTTATTGTTCAATTTTTTTTCAAAATATGGTCGATATTAAATACACAAATGATATTACCGAATTAACTAAGTGCATGAATCTTAACAACTTTTTAAAGAATATACCTTATACTTGTATAAGTTTACTCTGTATGCATATAAACATTAAATCCATAGTTAAAAACTTTGCTGCCCTTGAGAAATGTATTCGCTCTTCTAACAAAGATATTGATGTAATAATTTTATCCAAGGTTAATATTTCCGATTCTTTAAGCTGCCTTTTTAATTTAAGAGGCTATCAAACGAACCTGCTAAATGGTCGCAAGGGTGGTGATATCATAATATATGTGAGAAATATACACAAAACTGTTTTAAAGCAATATAATACTCGGCACTTTGAAAATATTTTATGTACTATCACGACTCAGTCAAACTATACGGTAAACCTATGCGCCGTCTACCGGCCGCCAAGCCTTAGTAAACATTTTATTCACGAACTACAATCGGCACTCAAACACCTTTCCAATCACTCCGACTTACTTTTATTAGGGGATATTAACATCGACCTGAAAATCAGCACTCCTATAACACATTCATATAAAAACTCGTTGCATAATCTAGGCCTTTTGTGTGGAATCACAGAATACACCAGAATAGAATTTCGTAATAGCTTGTTGAGTAAAACATGTATTGACCACATATTTGTTCGGTCTCACTCAAAGGACGTATATACGTCGGCAATCGGTACCACACTGGCTGATCACCGTGCGATTGCACTAGCTTGTGTCGGTGTACCAATACAGGATGTTTCAGTTTATAAAACGTGCATAAGTAACAAGAAACTCATGAAACTCCTTAACGATGTTAAATGGGATAAAGGCTGTGAACTATCGTGCCCGATAGAAATCAACGACTTCATTGAGAGCAGATTTAAGGAATGCTATTTGTTCAAGTAGCATTAAGTTAGATATATTATTTGTTGTATTCTGTATATTTCGCTAGATGGCGTTGTACAATTTTATAAGTCGATGTTAAGATTCTCAAGAGGTCAATGACCTCATGTGTTATTTGTAAATTTGGTGAGATTTGAGGGGACAGAGATCATTAGTGCTATCTCTTAGTTCCGATCCAATATAGGTCAGATATATATCCTACCAGGTTTTTTATTTAGTATCCTGTAGGAGTATATCCCGCCCAGTTCATCCCGACCTCGGTCAATAAACATTGGTCCTGCGAGTCGGATAGGGATTAGTCAGGGGTTACTGACTAGTCCTTGAGGAGAACGGCGCCGACACAGTGGTGGATTGCTGCTGATGGCGCTAGGGTGCTGGTGAAGGCACCCGGTATTGAAGATCAAGCTGAGGTCAACGGTGGGCGAAAGTGGAATTCAGAACACGGAACCCTGCGACCACATAGTGAGAGAGGCGCAACCGGCAGTGGGAGCGGATCCACAAATACAAGGGAATTTAAACTTAGTGCAGACAAGTGTGAGTGCATTGGACAACTGTGAGTACTTTTATTTTATTTTATTTTGAAAAGTTCACAAGTGAGTGGAAATTTAGAAGTACTTGGACTTAGAAAAATCAGAAGTATTTTGGACTTAGAATAATTTAGAGTTTAGTTTAGACTTAGAATAGTTTTAAGAAAAGTGCTCATACGGGGAACCTATGCCCGATTTTTTGTCAAAGTTTATGAAGTTCAAACACTTAGAAAAATTTCTTTTTTGTAAGCTTAGAATGTTTTGTAGCCTTTTGGACTTAGAATAAATTCAGTAGATTAGCACTTTGTATAGTTTAAGTGTGTTTACGGGGAATCCATACCCAAATTTAAAGCTTTTTAATTTAACACATAGAATAATTTGAGATAGGTAACGGGATTTAGAATATTTTTTGTTAAGTAGTTTGTAGTGTAGTGTGTACCTGTACACATACTTAGAACAATGTTGTAATTAGTTATGTTATGTTAATCGATGTAGTGCAAACTCTTAAAAGAATTTTTAGGGTAATAAATTTAGTAAACCAAGTTAAATATTTTATATCGTTTGTAACTTATATTTACTTGTTGTTTGGTCTAATATATTGTGTTGTTGTGGTTTAGTACATAATATTTTATATACAGAATGGAGTCATTATTAAATTTGCAAACTGATACAAGAAATAGAATTGAGAAAGCTAAAACTAATTTTAAAAAATCCCCAAAGGATAGAATTACACAAGGTTATATAGAAACCAGATTAGAGGCATTAGAAGAGCATTGGACTAAGTTTAATAATACACATAGAGAAATAATTAAACAAGCGACAGCACAGGATATGAAAGGTATATATTTTACGTCAGAGATTTACGAAAAAACAGAAGAAATATATATTATTTACAAGTCTGAATTAAAGGATATTAAATCAAGTATAGTAGTAGTATACGATACCCAGCAGCAGGTATCTCCCATTGTGAGTACATCACGTAATGTTAAATTACCAAAGATTAATCTTCCAACTTTTTCGGGCAAATACGCAGAGTGGATAAGTTTTAGGGATCTTTTTACATCACTCGTACATAATAACAAGGATATAGATAAAGTACAAAAATTGCACTATTTAAAGGCATCTTTAAGGGAGGAAGCTGAGCAATTACTACGTCAAATACCTATTACCGCATCTAATTATGATATTTGTTGGGCTCAGTTAGAGAACAGGTACAATAACAAGCGTCATTTGGCTAATAGTATTTTACAACGTCTGTTCAATGAAAAACGTATTAGTGCAGAGTCATCGGTAGCTCTCAAACATTTATTAGATACTACAACAGATTGTATGAATGCCTTAGCTAATTTAGGAATTGATGTGACTACCTGGGATATTATTGTTATTCATATAGTGTCATCCAAGCTCGATCAGGAAACTCGCAAGCAGTGGGAGTTGAAAGCTGCAACTGATAGTTCGACCGAATTACCTACTTTAAATCAGTTCAAATCGTTTATAGAAAGTCGTTTTAGGGCACTAGAGTTTATGGAGCCTCAAAGGGATCTAGGACAGTCACGTGGCACCAATTTATCAAGGCAAAGGGTTATGCTAGCGACCGATGAAACAGACTTTGACGCTAAATTATGTTGTGAGTACTGTACAGAACGACACAAAATGTGTTTTTGCAAAAAGTTTAGAGAGTTAGATGTAGATCAACGAAGGCATTTTGTGTTTGAGAATAGAATATGTTTTAATTGTCTAGGGGGTAACCATGTCGTAAGTCAATGTAACATTCAAAGGTCATGTCGTGTGTGTGACAAGAGACACCACACTCTTTTGCATAAATATGTTCCAACTAACATGTCAAAGGATCATTCAGATAACCGGGGTAACCCTTCTGATGAGGTTAAGTCTTTGGACAAGGATATGCCCTTAGTATCTTGTCTATCTACAAAAAATGCACAGCTTCGTCAAGTTCTACTAGCAACCGCGCTAGTAAAAGCTCAGACAGTGTCGCACAATTTTCAGGTAGTTAGAGCGTTATTGGATCAAGGCTCTCAAGCTTCTTTTGTAACAGAAGCTGCAGTTCAGTTGTTGCGATTGAAGAGGCGTCCAATCCGAAGTATCATCTCTGGTATCGGCAATGAAAAAACGTCTGTTGCCAATTATATGGTGACGGTAGTACTACAGTCTTTGGCCGATTCTAGTTTTGAGATACAGGTTGAAGCTTATGTTTTAAAGAACATAACCTCGTATCTTCCAGAGAGACAGTTCGAACCACTGAAATGGGTAGATCTGGAAACATTAGTATTAGCAGATCCACAGTTCAATAAGCCCAACAAAATTGATATTTTGTTGGGTGCTGAAGTGTTCAGCAAAGTATTAAAGGACGGGGTAAAAAGGTCTCCAACTGGATCTATCGTAGCTCAGTGTACCAGCTTAGGTTGGATCCTTTCTGGTACAGTTTGTCGAAAGGGTGAGGTAAATAATACAAATAAGATCACGGCAATGCATGTACAAATGGGTGAATCCGATGTCTTGAAAAGGTTCTGGGAAATCGAAGATAATTTGCCAAATGAGAGAAAGATATTGACCGAAGAGGAACAAAAATGTGAAGAGTTGTTTGCATCTACAACCAAAAGGGCAGCAGATGGTCGTTACATTGTAAAACTACCATTTAAAGAACAAAATCCCTCGTGTGTAGGTGGTAATAGTAGAGAAATAGCAGTAAAAAGATTTAAGTTACTAGAAAGGAAATTTAGTAAAGACAAAGATTTTAAGGAAAAATATACACAGGTTATTAAGGAATATTTACAATTAGAACACATGAAGAAAATAGAAAGGAATGACAATAATTTTAACAAAGCTGTGTACTTACCGCATCATGCAGTTATTAGAAATGATAAGTCTACAACGAAGGTACGTGTAGTGTTTGATGCTTCCTGTAAGAACGAGAATGATGTGTCGCTAAACGATACGCTTATGATAGGTCCTGCATTACAGTCAGATCTTCGTCATATTGTTCTTCGTTGGAGAACGAATAGCATAGCACTCGTAGCGGATATTGTCAAAATGTATCGTCAGGTCCGAATCGCCAAGGAAGACTTTATATATCAAAGAATCGTATGGCGAGATGATCCTAAGGAAGAGATACAAGATTACTGTCTGACAACAGTAACCTTTGGTACCGCATCGGCTCCTTACTTGGCGGTAAAGGCGTTAAATCAGGTTGCAGTGGATAATGGTGAACAGTTTCCAGTAGCAGCCGAAAGGGTGTCTAGTTGTTTTTATATGGATGACATGATGACAGGCTGTTCAACAGTAGAAGAAGGAAAAAAATTGTGTAGTGAAATGAAAGATTTATTGGGAAAAGCTGGATTTGAGTTACAAAAATGGAACAGCAATAATATCAACATTCTAAAGGAATTAAGGTGCTATGAGGATAGTGATAATAAAAATACAAAACAAGATAACAAACAGGAAGAAATAGAAATATTCGAAAGTACGAAAATATTGGGACTCACCTGGTGTCGTTGTGAAGATGAGTTCAGATACACAGTACAGCTAGCTCCAATAACTGGTAAAGTATCCAAACGGAATATTATATCGGATATTGCGCTTTTATTTGACCCATTAGGTTGGTTAGCTCCGAGTATAATATTAGCAAAGGTCTTAATTCAAAAACTTTGGTTGGCAGGAGTTAATTGGGATGAAGATGTGCCAAACCTTTTAAGGACAGAATGGCAGATCTACCGTCAAGAACTGTTAGAGTTATCTAAGGTAAGGGTTCCTAGATGGCTAGGAATTACCGGCAATGATAACTGCGTGGAGTTACATGGATTCAGCGATGCCTCGAAGACAGCATACTCAGCAGTTGTCTATACTAGAACGGTTAATTGCGAAAACAGAGTACGTGTTTCCTTGTTAGTAGCGAAGACAAAGGTCGCACCTATCAAGCAGATCAGTATTCCTCGTCTCGAGCTTTGTGGTGCAGTCTTACTAGCTCGATTGTTAGCAGA